TGTACCTAAGGAGTGTGAATTTTATTATGAAAAAATTGTTAAACATGTGGACATTGAAGGGAGGAAAAATGAACAGCTTTTCGAAATTGTTTTTTGATTCTCAAATTGTTTTTTTAATTTTGATTACTTTCAATAGCTAATACAGCTCTGATTGAATTTATGCTGCTAAGTTCAAATGATTATATTCAGTTTTATACAGATGACTGTATACTTACTAATTAAAGAGGATTAAGAGTATGGAACCCTTAATGTAAAATATAGAGGCAAACAATAATTGTAAATAATGACATTTTCTTTTAATACTTAGCTGGAGAGAAATTAAATATAGTAGTATGGCATCTGCAAATAGTATTATGTTATCGTAATTACATTCTGCAACACACATTATTTATGGTATCTCTTCTCATCCATTTTGTTTTGCTGGCACAATGAAATTACAAATGTATTGTTATAATTGGCTGATTTCATATGTAAACATCAACAGAAATAGAGTTTAACAAATCAGTTTTGCAATTGCTGCTTCTGATAAAATGTGTTTTTATGCAAAAAACATCTACTGGCCTTTTAATCTAGATTTTTAGTTTCAAACTAAAACAATAAAAGTTTACAAAACATATTTAAAAAAGATGAAACTTTTAGTTCTCTTTTATTTTACCTATTCTTAAACATACCTGATTTTTTCACTTATAATCTATAAACTTTGGGTTTGATGGTTTATATAAACCATCAAACCCAAAGTTTATAGTAAATCTCTAAAATGCTGGATTATTTTGGTTAATTTAAATCACAAACAAAGTAAGAAAAGATTAACCTGAAGCAAATTAAAGACCTACTCCAGGACTTTTTCCAGAATATTGTAAATTATTTAACAATTAGTTTAACTATTAACATATGTACAAAATGACAACCTAACTACTTATCCTGAGATCAAATTGCTTTGTTTCAATAATTAATATTTAACCAAACTACCATGACATTAGAGATTTGATGTATTCTGATTCTGATGCAAAAAATGATGATAAAAAGTTTATATTCAGAAAGGTTATACTAAGATATTCTATGCTTCATTTATTAGGTAATACTCATATATATTATTATGGATAAGTTAAATCATCTAATAATTCAGAAAAGATCTGCTGTATTATAATGGAGAAAAGTAGCTGACATTTAAAGTTATAATGTACAGGTATACCTTGCCTTACGTTGGTAATTGGTTCCAGGAGAGGCGACATAAGTCAAATTTACTTGTCTCCAAATCTACTTGTCACTCAGCTAAACCATAAATTACCATTCCCAGTTCTGTATTTATTTATTAATGCATTTTTAATAATATATGGTTAATAAGGATCTATTTTAAGCTTACAAACAAATAAATTTTAGTTTTTAATATAGTACACAAAAAAGTAATCTAAATTTACAAATGCAGGAACTGTAAATACATTACAGTACATACTTGTAAATGTATATATTTTAATATGATTTTATGTGCTTTAAACATTTTTCTAATGATATTATGACTTCAATATTTGTGGCGGTCAGACGTAAAGTCGAATAAAATAATTTGAACTTGATTTTTATTTTTCCATATACTTTTTTGACAAACGATGTATAATTGGAAATAACATAAGTCGAGGTATACCTGTATTTAATAGTTGTTGACTTGTTAAACACTGGCTTTATAGTGTATTTTGAAGACAGTATTTAATAGTTATCACCACTTATAATAATTTATATATCTAAAATTATTGTCTCAATTATCCTGTATAGTAGACCTCCAATTTAATTAACAGACTAATTGGGAAAGAGTTTGTCAAAAATCCATTAAATCAAGTGTATTTTAAAAACATTTAATACATCCTGTACATTGTGGATTTGTTATTAAATGTATTTTGAGTAATTTATACTCACTGAACAAACCTCTTAACACAAATTCTGCTCTATTCACAAATGAAAGGTTCTAAATTTTTACTTTAGTACAATTTTGTATTAAAATTTGTTAATAAAGTTGGCCTCTGATTTATCAGTTTTAATCTAAGTGACTATTCATTTCACCAATAAAATTTGGTGTGTAGTAATCTGATGACTTTCATTCTTAAATTTTACTTTAACTATTAAATAACAATCTATTAAATGTTAAATTCAAATAATATATAAACTTGAAATGTATTCAATGTTTATATAAGATTATAATCTACAGCCTAAATGCATGACTGTGTTGTTTTCTATGAGCATGCATTTAATTTTAATTCACATTTAAAATTATTGCTTTTCACAGGAAAAAAAATGAAGTAAAAAGCCAAACAAACAGAAGTAAGTTTGAGCTTAATTTGAGCATTGTTACCATGATAATTATTGAGCATTGATACTATGATAATTATTAAGTTTTTCAACACATATTTCAAGACAGAAATCTTGGAAAATGTATTTCAAAAACTTAAGAGGAAAGATTTAATATTTAGCTTCCAGTCTAAAAGTAGACTAAACTGATTTCTGTAAATACTGTACCTAATAATGCTTATACATCAGCATTTTTATATATTGACCCAGTTGATATTTAATATACATGCTTCTAGCATGAATTTTAAAATAAAAATATTGTTAGCCATGAAGAAAACCTATTAGTTATACTCAATGGAATATTAAAATTTATCCAACAAAAAAATAAATAAATTAAAACAAATACATAGGCCTATAAATTACATATCACTATTCATCGTAAGTCTGATATTTAGATAAAAATATATTATCATTTAAAAAATTATACAGTATATTTGAATTATTATTTAGCAATTAATGTATGGTATATGCTACAAGCCATCAGCTCTAACAGATAAACATGTCATCAATACTATTCATTTTTCAGAGTATTTTTCTGACTTTCATAAGAAAATATTATCTATAAATCTTATAATCAATTAATAACGTAGACCAGTGATATTTCACTTATGTTATTAAATGCAAGAGTGCAACTTAACTAGCTCAAGGTCAGAGAGATAGTCTATTCTGACTACCTGTTAAATACAATGAATATAGAAACACAGTACGTTACTGCTACATATATATTATTAAATTATTTCCTCGGCAAACTATATATCTGTATTTAAAATATTTCTAATTATTATTATTATAAATTATTAGCATTGTACATTTCATAAATTTGTATCATCAATGTTTATGTTAATTATTTTATTACTATATTATTATTTTTACATCTTTGATACATTCTAAATTAAAAGCATTAAATGAAATTATTAGGAAAATTAATTAAAACACTATATAATTATTTAATCTAATTTAAAGACACATTCTACGGTTTAAATAAGAGAGAATCACCGTTATAAAATCTCTAAGAAAGCTCTACGACGTATTCGAGCAAAACTATTTGCTACGTGATTTTTAAATGTTTATTTTTGGTCGGTTTAACATTGGTTATTTGAATTCTTATCTGAAGATTCAGCTCTAGTGTATGGCCTAGAAAGGTTTTTTTTTAATGATTATAAATAATCACCACTCAAACTTCTTTACACTCGTGCAAGTTTTTATTTTTGAAAAAGAATATTCCTCCACAATCTTTAAAAAAGAAACTTTTTGAATAGGTATCAACATTTAGAATATAATATATAAATATTAAATGTTCCATAAATAAAACTACAGCTAANATGTGGTGTGATTCCGGGCCGACCAATTAGCCATCACCAGCCGTAACGTTATGCAAATCTGTGATTCCCAAGCCATAGTCTTACGCAAATCATGCCGTGTGGCGTAATTGTCTGCTGACCAATCAGTGGCTGTACTTTCAAAAAGCCAACGGCCACTTTCAACCATTTGTCGATGACCGTTTCGACTAAAAAAACTTCGCTACGTCTTACTTTCAGGGGGAGGTCTTATATTTCACAATTCAGCAAAACCAATGCTAAGTCTTATTTTCTGCGGATGTCTTATTTTCGGGGAAACACGGTACTTGAGACTTTCTGTATGTCAAATTTTGCAGTGATTCGACAACTCCTTCTTGGTGTGCTAATTTTTATGGCAATGAGTGTAAATATTGAAACGAAGATTCAAATACAATGTTTTTAGTCTTACTTTTCATTTGAAAACAAATCTTGGCTCAGTTTTATTGTAAAATATGCATATAAATAATGTATATTGGAAATAATCTATATATTTCAGTTTTAAATATATTATTAGCTTTTTGTATAAAAACATACAAAATTCTTCTCATTCTTTCGCAGTTCTTTGTACGGAGAAGTAAAAACTTATAAATAAATCACATCCTCAAATATACACACGGCACATTAATGACCTCTATTCACTAAAATGCCAAACAGATCGGTTTATAATTGAATCACAACTAAAAATTGCCATTCGGGAAAACAAAAACAGTCAAAAAAAAAATTAACAAAAAAGGTCACTGGAAAAGTTTAAGCAATTTGCCAGTGAAAATTTCTAATTTTTCATTACGGAATCCAAGTGTACGATTATTACGCATGTTAAAATAATCGCGAAAGTTAAAAATCGAGAGAATTTTTTATTTTTTTGATGTTCTATTTAACTACGAATCGGAGAAAAGTACTGTACATTTGTACATTAAACGTGTCAAAATGAAGGCTTTGAGATTCCGCACGAATTCCCGTAATTTTCCCACACGATCTATATATATAACATATATTTTTTCCTTCTTTACGGTGGTAGTCTTTCCGGTCGGTCCCCCTTAGCATCCCTCCGAACGAACTCCATCAAACGGGGAGCGAGAGAGAGACAGACAGACAGATGGAGGAAACGGCCTGGCTTTATAAAATCATCGATCGAAATTCGGGAGGAAATTAAAATGCGTCCGTTCGTAAACCGTCGTCGCTTAACGAATTAAAGTAACTTTTTAAAAGAATTCTATCGAATGGCCATCGGTTCTAACGAATCGATACGATAATAACGGACAGCGCGACGTCGTCGTCGTCGGCCAGAAACCCCCCGTAATTACGACACAGATAAAATGGACTAACCTGCGGCTGGTGTGGAACTGTACGAAGAGGGTGAAACGTACGAAGATTCAGAAATCGTTCGAAAACCTTCCATAACAGAACGGGATACGCAACGTCGTCGGTCTCTAACTCCGGAATATGTCGCCCCGTAAGAAAGATACAAATTGTAAAAGAGGGGCGGACAGATGACGTACGAGACGTGCGTCTAGAAATCAACCTATTCGACCTACCACTACATTACTAGACGCGACTAAGCGCTCCCGTCCGGCTCGATAGTCTGGGACGATCGGTCGATGACGTTCGCCTGGTTTCTACTGCGGCGATGTGGGACGACTACGGTCGTGCGACCGACCATCGCTTGGTACTGGCTTTTTAAAAAACGCCACCTAACACATTTCCACTCGTTCGTTTCGACAAGTAAAAATACGTAAAAAATAAATAATAATATTTTTATTTCTTTAACATTATTTTCCTCACCGACCAATCGTTCATATAACGTTTATTATTATTATTTTTCTACCATAAATATATTATTCTACGCATTTACAATTTATTCGTGTATTTATATATAATATATGCGCGCACATACACACACACATATATATAGACGCGTAGAGACGTATATAATCGACATGGACAAAACGTATCGCCCATCTCGACGACGATCGTAATAATCGATTTCCCCCTCAATTTCCGAAATGGCAACACGTTCGAGAATTTTTGAATTTAAAATACGACGCGTATTGTCGTCGTGCGGAACGAAATACCGAAACTTAAAAATAATACAAAAATACCGAAACTTTAATTGGCTCGATATTGCGCGAAATTACACGCCGATCTTTCTTTTTCGCGTTATTTATATACAAATCCGTGCACGTGAAATTTACTGTAAATAAAGTCGAGAATTGCCCGTCGTGACCGCCTAATATCTATACGATTTCAAATATTTAACGAAAACAACCCAAGTTTGAAGATTAGAAAAATTCATAAAAACAGTTGTGAAGCGTTAATCTAAATTTATATCGCTTTATATACCATTATTAATTTCTCCCGTAATACAAATCCCTTTAAATATAAAATGATCGCAGTAGTTTAATGATTTAACAGAGACGTCAGTCTCTAAACCATTCGGCATTATGTGATTTATTTACCATGCACGAATATAAAATAAACTAGCATGTTTCTCGCCAACAAATGCCTTTTTAAAATACTAATTCACAATTAACGTCGATTCTACGAGATTAGAGATGCTTACCTTAATATATTGGATATGTGATAAATTAAACGAAAATCATATTTAGAATTTTTATAGAATTATTATATATATATATATATATATATATACATATACACAAACATTTCGCATTTAATAGGGAAACAAAATTCCCATATTCCCTGCTTATGACAGTGTTTAAGTTCAGTTTTTAGCTACAAGTAAGCGACAAAAACTTTCAGTTATTTTAACCAGTAAATATTTTTAAGTAAATAATTTTACAAAACTATTTCGAATATTTTACATGAAAAACCTGGAAAAAAATCAAATTTTTTCTTGTCTAACGTTGGAGGAAGTCGTACAAAAACATTATTTCTACTGTAAGTAGCGAATACGGTATCAAATTATTGATTTTATCCAAGAGTTACATAATTACGGTTTGGAACAGACTTAAAATACAGAAGTAAAAACAAAAATGTTAACGTTGATCATCTAGACAGAATTTAAACATTTTATTAAATTTCTTAAATCACAAACGAACTCGTTGATCAATTACACTATTCTACAAAAAATTACTGTAGAAGGTATTGTACGTGTAACTGACTCCTGAATAAGTAATTTTACATATCTTTGAGGTGCTGAACATGAAGATCACATTGAAAATGCCAAATTGGTTCGTTTTGGCAACAATTCTGCCAGCAACAATGCTTTTTGCAGTTCTATTCTCAAGAAGGTGATCTCACTTTTTGTAACAATGTCAATGATCTTACTGCAGAGCTTTGGGCATCACATACAGTCAAAACGATTGGAGTTTGTTTATAGATTCTTAGAAGGTCAATTTGAAGTCTGTGCTTTTGCACAATGGAAATGTGCTGTATTCAGTTCTTCAACCCAAACTAAATAAACCTATGCAGTCGTGGGAAAACCTTCTTAGACTTACAGTACAAAAATCATGAGTGGCATGTGTGTTGTGATTTTATTTTAAAGTTATCACTATTTTAATGGGACTATAGCAGGACTACACAAAATTCTGTTGCTATCTCTGTGAATGGGACAGTTGTGACAGATTAAATCATTACAAAGACTGGCCTTGTCAATTATCACTTATACCAGACCAGAAAAATGAAGTGTATTAGTTGTTTGTCATTCCAGATAAAGTCATTGTTCCTCCTCTACACATTAAACTCAAATTCATCAGTTTGTAATGGCTATCGATAGAAACTGATTCATTTCTCTATTTGTGTAAGCAATTTCCAAAGGATTACCATAGAAAAAATCAAGAAGGGAATATTTATTGGTCTCCAGATCACACAACTTCAGTAGGATGAGGAATTTAAGTTGGTTGAAGAACAGCAAAAGAGAAGCATGAAAAATATTCAAAATTGTATCAACTAGTTTATTGGAAATAGAGCTGAAAATTTCCATCAGCTTATGGATGAACTTCTAAGAGCATAGGAGAAAATTACCTACAGAATGCCATGAAACTGCATACCCTCTATTCTCATTTAGATTTCTTCTCTAATTGTGGTGCACTCACAGTGACAAACCTGGAGTGTGTTTTCATCAGGTTATGACAGTCATTGAAAAGCATTACAAAGATAAATGGTGGCAGATTACTGCAATGTTGGCAGATTACTGCTGGATGATCAGGAGAGACACTCCAGAAATGAAAAATAAGAGACAAACAAAAAGATAGTATTTGAAGCATGTATATGCATTTTCTTTCTAATGAGATTTTCTTTCTAATAAAAGAAAATCTCATTAGACTCTGCTTTCTTTCCATTTTCACATCTAACTTTCAAACAACTAATCTTACATTTTCATTATCATTTTCATGTACAGTATTCAAAATTTATGCAAGATTAGTTAATCATGTCTCAATTACAAAACCTATGTTGAACAGTGTTATTATAGGCCATTGTTTTCAATGTTTATTTATTCTTTCAAAATTCTGTCATTTATTTTTAGTTCTTTTCCCATAAATTTTGAATTATACAAATAATGAATGCTATAAACTCTAGTAAACAGTTTCTCAAAATAAAAGGTTTGTAAGATTTAAGTAAAAGAAAAAGAAACATTAAAATACACTCATTAACTGAAAAGTTATGCACCCAGATAAAATTTTCCAATTACTGTGAAATTTGGCATACCCCATTATCATCTGCTTTGTTTGAACTTCAATTCCATCTTTACTGTTCAGAAGTACACTGCCCACACTACTGATTTCGGGAGTCTTGTATGACAGTTACATGCAAACAGTGGTACAAGGAACATGAACAGCACAGCAATACATTTAGGAAATCCTGTGCCCTTATTTGTTGCTTTTCAAAGCAAAACTACAAACAGCCATTTTCCAGCAAGATAATACTCAACCACACAGTTAGGGTTTCCCAGAAATGTCTCCATCAAACACTTTGTTGGTTTGTCCAGTTTCCAAATTTGTTGGAGCATTTGTAAAACATAATGGAAAGCCAGTTTCAACCGTGTGCGTGTGTAGTGTGTGTGTGTTCTGGAGCAGCAGTTGCAACATCTGCAGGAAAATCTATTCAACCACATCATTGCATGTGTCCAGGAAAGAGCTACAAACTTGGAATATTTCTTTAAATTGTATCATTGTTCCACAGGAAATTATCAATTTGCTATTAGTCTCATCATTATGTTACTCAGTATATTGTAATCACTTATTACTCTCATCATTATGTTCATACTAATAAAGTTTCATTTGATTCCAATGCTCACTGGAATGTGTAAAGATGAATTTTTACTTTAACAATGTTCTCAATCTCATGTGATTTGCCAAGGACAATCCATATTTTGCAATTGAACTGAAAATAAATTCTCTTCATGTTATGGAATGACAGCCAAATTTGATTGCTGGTCTTTATTTTCAGTTAACCTGTGAATGCTATCACTTATTTAAAAAAATGTTTTGGAAATGGCTGATACCACAGCTTAATAAGAAATAAGAAATATCTCCTGGACATCATTGCTTTTCAACAGAATGGTATACCATCATATTTTATCATTAATGTTCAAGCACAGTACACATTGGTGTTCAAGTACAAATTCCATCTTGTCAAAACATTTCTGGAAAATCTGAGTTTTATTAGTATCAGAATAATTGTAGATGCTACATAAAAAAACCCAAATATATGATAGTGAAATTGAAATAATTGAAAGAGAGTTTAAATGATAGAACTATCTGGTCCACAATTAAAATACAGAACTCTGTACAAAAGAGCATTTCTTGATTCTTAAAATTGGTTTAGAGGGCTTCATATGAATGGGTTTTCATATTCAAACTTTTCTTCTATTTCCTGGGTAACCTCTGTAACATAGAATATGCAGTCTGTCATACCATCATCATTGAACTTCTCCACTTTTGGATTAATTTTTTTAAATCATTGATTACTTTCTCTGAATCAGCATTCTCAGACAAGATCTTTGCTGACCATATTCACAGAAATGGAACAGAATGTTACGTGAAATGGCTACTCAGCATTTCAAAACAAAAATGAAATTCTTGCTTTCCAAGACTGTCTCATAGCAGCAATCAACATCAAATGCCATTTTAGTGATTTCAACAAATGCATTAATAATATTAACAACTCATATTTTACACTTTCCCCATATATTTGTTATCTTAACCATTAAAAAGTCAGGCTTATTACATTCAGCGAATTTTATCAACTCTATTTATCCAATTTGCATTTTGGCCTATTTAGCTCTTATCGAATGGTTTTTATTTCTTATAAAGGCAATCTTAAAAATAAACATGATTATTTGTAATAAGAGTTATATATGCAGTTATCATGTGTCATTTTTTGTATTGCTGTTATAATATGTAAAAACCAATCAAAAAGAGCTAAATAGGTCGAAATGCATATTAGGTAAATAGAGAGTTGATAAGTTACAAAAACATGCACATTTGAGGAATTAACAATTTCACAGTAGAGTTGACCTTTCTTTATAGGCTACTCATTGCCTCTAAAGGTAAAACAGTTAAAATATCCCTCTGGCAGTGGAACTTCATATAAAATTAAAAATATGCTTATGACTAGCCATATATTTTTATCAAATGTATATTTTTAATTTTATATGAAGTGCCACTGCCAGAGGGATATTTTAAGTGTTTTACATTTAGAGGTGGATGAGTAGTCTATAAAGAAAGGTCAACTCCACTGTGAAATTGTTAATTCCTCAAATGTGCATTTGAAAGGACTGGATTGGAATAAAGACATCTGTATGTATTGTCTTAGAAGAATCTTTTTAAAAATTTTTTGTA